AGCCAACCTGTGGCAGCTTCAGTAACTAGGGGGAAGTGCGCATTTCACTCTCCCCATAATTCTACTTGCATGGTAAATGTGTGGATAATTCGCCACGTACCACTTCCACTGCATAGAATAGCAACAATAATAATAATGACACCTGAGCATGTCCCCTGGTGTCAATATTATTATTATGTCCCTCTGGTGTAATTATTATTATTATTATTATTATGTCCCCTGGTGTCAATATTATTATTATTATGTCCTCTGGATTCATTATTATGTGCCCCCCCGTGTCATTATTATTATGTCCCCCCGTGTCATTATTATGTCCCCTGATGCCATTATTATTATGTCCACTGTAGTCAATATTATGTCCCCTGGTGTCATTATTATCATTATTATGTCCCCTGGTGTCATTATTATTATTATGTCCCCTGGAGTCATTATTATTATTATGTCTCCCCAGTGTCATTATTATTATTATGTCCCCCCAGTGTCATTATTATTATTTTTATGTCCCCCCAGTGTCATTATTATTATTTTTATGTCCCCCCAGTGTCATTATTATTATTTTTATGTCCCCCCAGTGTCATTATTATTATTTTTATGTCCCCCCAGTGTCATTATTATCATTATTATGTCCCCCTGGTGTCATTATTATCATTATTATGTCCCCTGGTGTCATTATTATCATTATTATGTCCCCTGGTGTCATTATTATCATTATTATTATGTCCCCCCAGTGTCATTATTATCATTATGTCCCCCCAGTGTCATTATTATTATGTCCCCCCTGGTGTCCTTATTATTAATATTATGTCCCCCTGGTGTCATTATTATTATTATTATGTCCCCGAGTGTCATTATTATTATGTCCCCGAGTGTCATTATTATTATGTCCCCGAGTGTCATTATTATTATGTCCCCGAGTGTCATTATTATTATGTCCCCGAGTGTCATTATTATTATGTCCCCGAGTGTCATTATTATTATTATTATTGACACTGGGGGACATAATAGTAATAATAATGACACTGGGAGGGCATAATAATATTATTATTATTATTATTATTATTGACACCAGGGGGACATAATATTAATGACACCAGGGGAACATAATAATAATAATAATGACACTCGGGGACATAATAATAATAATAATAATAATGACACTGGGGGGACATAATAATAATAATAATGACACTGGGGGACATAATAGTAATAATAATGACATATCTGGGAGACAATGATGGCCACAACTACTGTACAGTGACTGGACAGTATGCAAGCAACTTGATTAGGCTGCAATGCATAAGAGAGACGAGGCAGGTTTTATCTTAGAATAAACATTAGAGTGTATAATTTGAAAGACAAAATGTTTACAATGTCTGGACAATATGTAAGCAGCTTGGTTAAGGTACCATCTCCCTTCTGTTAGTAGGCAAAGAATCCAACCCTGAGACAGCAGCACATTCTTCTCTTCCTCCTGCTGCTGTGCCACTGGTTCCTAGCCTATCAGGCCACAGAGTGTGTGCTCCAGAAAAAACACAAAATGAATAGTATTAGTAATCCCTGTCTCATCGCAGCTCACCATTCTGGTCCCTCTTCAAAGCATGCAAATAGGCTGCACATGTCCTGAATTATAAGCCACTGACACAGTGAAAAGAACCTTAGGTTCCCAGAGCCTGCCCTTGCAATGGAATATCACAGGTCTCCACCCACAATGCTGTCCTCTTGATCTGTCACAGGAGGCTGAGCGGTGTGGGGAGGAGAGACGCCAGCCGCTCACAGCGCTCGGCCGCTTGTGACAGTTTCTCTCCTCCCCGCTGGGACACAGAACAGCGCCCAGCAGGGAGGAGTGAGTAGGATGCACGGCTGTATCGGCCAGAAAATTGCATTTTCGCCATTATGCCAAAAGTGCCATTTTCGGCCGATATGCTTCGGCGGCCGATATATTGGTGCATCCCTACTGGTAATACCATGCTCAGAAAAGAAGATGGAGACACAGAGGGGGGATTTATCAAAACTGGAGCAGACAAAATTAACAAACTGAAGAGAGATGCTCATTGGTTGCCAAGGGCAACTGCTCCATTTCCTGTCTGCTCCAGTTTTGATAAATTCCCCCAATAGGGTAGTCCTTTTTTAAAACCATTTATTCAAGAACAAAAAGCTACTCACATATAAAATCCTATTTTTCTGACCCCATCCTGACAGTGATCCACTGTCCACACAACCGGAAAAATAAGAAGCTTAGCTCCCGATGGAACCAAACATCTAGTGCTCTCTCCGCTCACCATGTTCATTGAGCACCTGAATGTGTGGGACACACCTATGATAAATGGATTGATTCACAGTGTTATCATACATTTATACATGGGACTCTTAATATAATATCTTGTTGCTGGACACTTTTTAGTATTGTCATTGTATGGTATATATACACTGAGTGGCCAGATTATTATGACCACCCCATCAGTACTTTGTTGGTCCACGATATGACTCCACAATATGTTGAAAGGTGATGTGAGGAATCTGACGCTGCACTGTTGTCTTGTACCAGTCTTGCCACTCTCCGTTCTGCCCTAACATTGACTTGTCGCTGACGGCCAAAATTTGCACGTTCAGACCCAGATTTTCGTCTTACAGTCCGGTCTTTAAACACTTTAATAACAGCTGCTCTTCTTCTGCTGAATTCTGCTGTTTTGCTGATACTCGCTCCATGGCTCCGAACGCCAACAATCATTCCACGTTCAAAGGCTGTTAATTGCGTTGTTTACCCATATCTTCAGAAAAAATCACTTCTACTGTCGTGGTAAACCACCTGCTTTCCTATTTATAACGGTCTGGCCCTCTAGCAACTTCAGCCCGAAATTATAGCTAATGTAGGGAACTAGTCTCAATGTAGAGACAAACTCGCAGTCTCTTCAACAAAAATGCCAGCTTTAATTCCAGACTGCAATCAATTGACAAAAAAAAAAGGTTACAGGCATCCAGCCCAAAAAATTAGATTGTCATAAACAAATAAAAGTCCGCTCCACTGAGCCTTACTGGGTATTAGCGATAGTCCTCTGAGCTGGGTCAGTTTCCTCTATTGGAACAGTTACAGTCCATCCACAGAACCCTGTCCTGCTGATAGGCTTGGCTCCAAACACAGAACTTGCTGCATTCAGCACGCTGTCTCTCCTTGCACTGAGACACACACATCCCCCAGCTAGGTGCGGCTGCACACTAATGAAGTCCTGTGCAGTCTTCACTAAACTACGGTCCATGGAACTAGGAGTCTGTCCCACCCAGAGCTCTATCAGACTCCTAGTAACACCAGCCCCAGCCAATACAAGGTAAAGAGCTATTTTTCTTTACCTCCATCTATGCTGACATTACCTTAGATGATGAATCTAAGGATCCGTGGAGAAATGTATCTACCATCTATCACTTTTCCTGCCAACCTGGCAGTTTTTACTGGCACCATGTTACACTAATTATAGCTAATTTGCCTACAAACGTCAGGTGGTCATAATAATCTGGCCACTCAGTGTATTTTGAATACACTGTAGTGCGTTTCCTATAGTGCTGCACTGTTATTATATAGATTGTTTCGTAACTTAAACCTCTGAAACATCTTGTGAGACTTTCCTCCCTGTCACTAGAAGTCGTAGATGGTGTGGCGGATGCAGCAGGAGAATCTTGTGGTTGGGGGTAGATGTGTAAAGCACTGAGGAATGAGGAGAAGCAGTGCAGGCCTTTTGCTTCCTACTGGTCTCATTGAGGTTTTACTCCCATGTAGCCATGTTTCTTCTAATGCACGTGGTATACAAATGGTATGATACACTGCAGACCACAACAGTGCTGTCTTCTGCAGATATTTTAAAAAAAAGGCCCACACTAAAGAGCTTTGTGGACTGGCCAAGGGAATAGCAGTGGCCTGTACCTGAGGGACAGTGCTGCCAGAGTAGGAGGGCTGCTCCCTTCAGTCCCTTGCAAGCTGCCCCTAGACAAAATCTTGCCTGTTTGTTGTTCTTCCTCTCCCTCAGAAGTTACAGACTGCCACCTCATCATTCACCCTCTTTTCTTCACTGGAGCCCACTTTGCAGTAAGCAGTAAACATTACTGCCTCTTGTTGCCCACTGCCTGATGTCACCTTCCTCTATGGTCCTGGTGCTATCTTCCGGTCCTCAGTATCAGAAATGAGGAATGCTTGCAGATGATCAAGATCATCCTCCTGCAGCAAGTGACTGATCGTGTGATGAAATAACTCTTCACTGCCAGTTTTCGGGGCTGTGGTGGGATTAGCAGAAGAGAAGGAGAAAGAGGATGCACTTGCAGACAACTGGCTGCTTTGTGAAGGAATAGGTGGAAGGCTTTTGTCTGCCACTCAACTCCCTCTTCTATGATCTAAGGCTGTAGAGGATGGCCACTCTCAAGAGAGAAAAGGCTGAACTTCTAGATGGTGTAGTCCAACCATTGCTTTGTCCAAGAGAACCTGCTCACCCCCTACGAGCAAACGCCCCCCTCCCTGCCATACCAGGCCACATGCCCTCGGCACTGGGAGAGTGCTTTTCCAGGGCCCCCCTGGAAAAGCACCTTGTCACTGTGCCGATGGGGACAAGGGCCTCTTCTCCACAAGCCCTGGGGCGTGTGTTGTGGGGGTGTGGGCAGGGGGGGCTTATTCAGATCAGGGTACCCCTTTCATTTTAAAAGGGGCACCCAGATGCGCTCCCACCCTCCTTGTGAATGAGTAAGGGGTACTTGTACCCCTACCCTTTCCCTAAAGGGTTAAATAAAAGTTAACTAAGATTACCAAACTTTAATGAAAAATCCCCCATACAATGGATCCACCAACATAATCCTAAGGTCAATCACAACGTCCAGCGTTGTCCATGACGATGACAACTCAGGGAAATAACATTTTTAAAATAATGAATAAATACAAAAAATAATTAAAAAAACCTCTTTATAACAGAATACAAATCTGCACTTGAAATGTACAACTGATTTTTCAATGTTTTGTTTTATAGAAGCAGGCGATGACGTTAATATTCTGCAAGCTTTCAAGAGAACGTATGTATACCATGTGACTAGTTACTATTAAAATGTAGTGTTTTTTTGTAGTCCACACTTGTAATTGTTGACTGCACTATTTACATATATGGGTCAGACTGCTGGTCAGAGGCTAGCTAGCCTATGCTCATATAAAATTAAAATAGAAAATGTACATGTATTTTCACTTTGTAGTCAAATTTAAGAAACCACCTCTATTTGTTTGTCCCGATTCACACAGCATACTGATTTTGTTTTTTATATTTCTTACTTTTAAGATGTTTTGTTGTACCCGGTAACATGGCTAAATCCAAGTTTTTCCAAGCACCTTCATCTGTCCTTATAGAAATACTGAGGACAGCAAAGTGTGGAATGTGTTTCATTAACATACGATGCAGGATCCAGGGTTGTAATGCTTTAACCCTTTGTTAGGATGGGCAGTGTTCAAATCTCCTTTACAAATAATTAAGAAATCAGCCAGCACAGAATCTTCACAGAAGCTTCAAGATATACAGGTGAAACTAGAATAATTAGAATATCGTGCAAAAGTAGTTGCAGTAAGTGCTGCAAAAGGGGCCCAAACCAAGTACTGAGTACATATGCATGCTTGTACTTTTCAGAGGTCCGATATTGTTCTATGTACAATCCTTGTTTAATTGATTGCAAGTAATAATCTACTTTTTTGAGGTTGTGGATTTGGGGTTCTTGGGGTTTTTATGAGCTGTATGCCATACTCATCACAATTATGACAAATCACGGCTTGAATTATCTTGCTTTGCATGTAATGAGTCTCTCATATATTAGTTTCACCTTTTAAGTTGCATTAGTGAAATAAATGAACTTTGCACGATATTCTAATTATTCGAGTTTCACCTGTATATTGTATCTTTTTAGTGAAATGTATCTAAACATCGGGCTCTCGAAGACAAGGTTAATACAAACCTCTTAAAGGCGGTCCTAACATTACAAAGAAGGGCATACGGAAGTAGAAATTTTAGCAAGTAAAAAGCAATTTAACCCCTTCATGACTGAGCTAGTTTTCAGTTTCTGTTCATAAATGACTGACACACTTTTTACATGTGTGTGATTTTTCCACAGCAGTAATATACTTTCTTACTAAATGTACCCACACATATTACATATTGTTTTTTAGAGGACAGATAGCTCGACAGATCTTGAGCTGTCAAAACAAATAGCAGAGAGGTGAGTCACTGCTACCTCTCTGCTATTTTTAGCTGTCAAATACAGGATCGCAAATTGCGGTCCTGTATTTGCATGTAACGGCTTCATTCTTTCATTAATGAAAGGAAGAAGCTTTTACAAAAAACTTAATTATTTCATTAATGAATGCCTCAATACTGAGGCATTCATTAATGACTGAGGCATTCATCAGTAACTGCTGAGAATCAGCTGTTACCAGCATTACAAAGCCTGATATAACTCGTCAGGTACAGTGTACGTGGCCAGTCATATAGGCACAAATAGGTATAGGTACGTCATATAGGTACACTGTAGTCTCCCGTCACGAAGGGGTTAAACTGCAAAAAGCATTTTTTAAATAGTTCTATAGCTTATGCAATGTGAACGGTAAAAAATATAAAAAAGGTGTCATTCCAATTTGGCTGCAAACATGAAAATACACTTTAATGTTGGCAGAGGCGGCTCTAGACTTTGTGAGGCCTTAGGCAAAACTCAAACTTGAGGCCTCCACCTACACCCATAATGAAAAAGCCCCCCTGGGCACCCTCAGGCGTCTGCCTATGCAGCCTTATGCTAGCCCCATGTCACTGGGAGGTTAGCTGATTAGGGTTACCACCTTTTCTTCAAGCAAAACCCGAACACTCTAGCAGGGCAATTTTTTTTGGGAGAAGAGGGAGGAGGGACGGCCACTAGAAAGAGAAAAGAGAGACAGCCAGGAAAGAGAGCCAAAAGAGAGACAACCAGGAAAGAGAGCCAAAGGAGAGAGAGAGGAGAGACAGTCAGGGGAGAAAGCAAAGAGAAACAGCCAGGAGAGAGAGAGGAGAGACAGCCAGGAGAAAGGGAGGAAAGACAGCAAGGACAGCCAGGGGAGAGAGGGAGGAGAGACAGCCAGGGGAGAGAGAGCAATGAGAGACAGCCAGAGGAGAGAGAGCAATGAGAAACAGCCAGGGGAGAGAAAGTGAGGAGAGACAACCAGGGGAAGCAAAGAAAAACAGCCAGGAGAGAGAGAGAGAGGAGAGACAGGCAGCAGAGAGATAGTCAGGCGAGACAGCCACGGGAGAGAACAAAGAGAGACAGCCAGGAGACAGAACAAAGACAGCCAGGAGACAGAGTGAAGAGAGACAGCCCGGAGACAGATTGAAGAGATACAGCCAGGAGAGAGAGAGAGGAGAGACAGCCAGGGGAGAAAGCAAGGAGAGACAGCCAGGGGAGAGAGTGAGGATAGACAGCCAGGGGAGAGAGTGAGAGAGAGAAGAGAAAGTCACTAATTATTATAATGTGTTTACCTTGCCATTAGCAGCACAACTATAGGTAAAAAAATGAAAAACTGGTGCAAACACAAAACATGTTAATTTTTTTTATGTGCTGAAAAGTAAACTGATCTTACAGCTGTAGTGTCATCCCCGTGTCCGCATTTCATGGGTCAGTTGTGTTATGTCTGGCCTGTAGGATGTTACTTTTAGCTGACCTCAGACCAGCATCAATGCACTCTTTGCATGACAGAGCTCTGAGCTGCAGACCTCAGACAAGAACCATTGCACGGCAGACCTCAGGCCAGCACCAATGCAAAGCAGACCTCAGGTCAGCACCAATGCAAAGCAGACCTCAGACCAGCACCAAAACACTGCAGACCCATTGCACAAGGGAACTCAGACCAGATTCATTGCACAGCAGACCTCTGACCAGCACCAATGAACTGAAGACCTCAGACCAGTACCATTGCACAGTATACCTCAGACGAGAATCATTGCACAGCAGACCTCTGACCAGCACCAATGAACTGAAGACTTCAGACCAGAACCATTGCAAAGTATACCTCAGACCAAAACCATTGCATGGTAAACCTGGATGCACTGTAACGCATTCAAGGCTACATAATGAAAGGCATTAACTTGCTGCTTGAGGTCACACTACAATGCTGAGTACGATCCTATAAACGGAATAGTAAGTAGATTTAGGCTCCATTCACACTGGAGCCACTGTCCGCGTGTATTCGGCTGTACCAATATGCGTGGAGCCGCTTAAAACATAAAAAAACAATGCACTTTAATGTGCATTGTTCAGGCTATTGCAGGGACCGCGCGGTTGGAACCACACAGCCCCCAAAATAGTGCAAGTGCAATAATACAGATGGTAGATTCCACACATTCGCGGCTATATAATAGTCGCAAACGAGGGGAATACGTGTGGGTTAAAAACGTTAGTCTTTTCGTCGTGGGCGATCTTCTGCACAGAAAACCGTGCAGGAAACGCAAACGCTATATGTGAATGGAGCCTAAATACCTGAGTAAACAGAAATGAGTGGCAAAGTTTTTTTAGACTGCGGACATCGGATCTTTGTATTGTAGCCAGGGACCAGAGACACGTATTGAGGCAGTGTGTGTGCTGAGGGAAGGGAAAAAAACAAACAAACCACAACCCCTTCCCCCCGCCAGAACGAGGAGGAATTTCTATGTCACTTTACAAATGATCTTCCCGAAATACACAGAGCACACAGGAGGACTTACTCTGAGTTGCTCCACACATGGCACGACAGAGGTCACAGCCACATAACTCCCTCACCGCAGCACAGAACAGGGGGCGGGGCTGGGACGGACAGTACACCAGCCGGACTATGCATGTATTCCACTAATACTGTTTCTCTGCAGGGACGCTACTGTTTCTCCCCACCTCCTGCCTTGCACTAGCGCCAGCCCTGCGGGCTGGGCACGGGTGCCGTGGGTTACACGACCTCTGCTGTAGATTGGGCAAGTTAGACAGCCATGAGGCCCCCATGAGTGTGAGGTTTAGGAGGCCGCCTAACTTGCCTAATTAAAGAGCCGCCTCTGAACGTTGGTATTGGTGTGAATAGATGTACATGTTCTTTGGCAATTTAAATTGTCTTATGTCTCTCAGACTGGACTTACTTGCTCCTGTATTCTAAAATAATTTGTTCAGTCCTGGCATACACTGAAAAGAAATGGTCAATTGAAATTGCAAATTTATTGTTCACTGTATCTCCAATTTTTCCAACACAAATTATCTAAACAATCTGTCCAAAACAAGGTCAGTATATGGACTAGACCAGACAGCTCAAACCAGCCTTTATAATTTCCTTTGCTCCTCTTATATAAATACACCAGTATGTAATAATGAAAAGTAAGATTCACATTCCGTATACACTTTTGTATACACCCATTGAGGGAAAAAGTCTTGCCATAATGTTTCCTTATGATTTCTTCTGGAGCAAGAAAAAGTGACCTAGATGATGCCTCTATACCACTTTCTTCTTGTATAATATCATAGATATCCTAGAATTAGACATCTGCACAGGCAAAAAATGTGTTTTGTTTCGTTTTTATTCAGATTTTTTTATTATTTAATTTTTCAGGATTCGGGTCCGAAAGTCAATTTGTTTCGGGATTTGGCCGAGATTCATTAGCAGTAGTATGTACACATTTTTTGGAAGGATTTTAGTTGCAGCAAAATGACATTAGACAACAGAAAAAAAAAATATATATTTTACAGTCTGGGAAAGTCCGAAAGGGAAACAGACGTGGGGGTCATTGCAGACCACAGGCTGAATAATAGCACGCAGAGTCAGGCTGTAGCAAGTAGAGTCCTTTCCTGTATTAAGGGGGGAATGTTTTGCAGGGACAAGTCTATAATTCTGCCACTTTATAGATCACTGGTTCGGCCTCATCTGGAGTATGCGGTCCAGTTTTGGGCACCAGTGAACAGAACGGATGTCCTTGAACTGGAAAGAGTCCAGAGGAGGGAAACCAAACTCACAAAGGGGATGGAGGACCTGAGCTGTGAGAACAGGCTACTAAATTTAAACA